GGGAATGAAAGAGGAGAATGCTGGACAAGACAGTGTTTGGCATGTGGCCGAGAGAGGGACAGGAAAAAGGGAGTTTTCCCGGCGGGTTGAACTGCCGGAAAACGTGAAAGCTGAGCAGATCAAAGCGCAGGTCGAAAATGGCGTCCTCACCATTGTTGTACCAAAAGATACATCACCTAAACCATCTAAACTACGAAACATTAACATCACTAGCAAACTCTAAACCCTAATTTCATATCAAATGGAATAAAAACCAGACTTTCATGGCCGATTGTACTTACATGTTGTGCAAGTTTGTGGTGCAATAAAATTTGATTGTATTACTTATATTAGTTATCTAATGGAATAGTGTTAATAAACATATTTTTAGAGCCCATTTTTAAAACACACTTATGTTTTAAAAAATGGATTCAAGATTTTATGATGTATTTAAGAAAGATGGAAGTGAATTTTAATGGAAAATACAAAAAAATTAATTTTGTAAGAAATTACAAATAAAATTGAAACAATACTTTTTGAAAAAAAAATTATTAATCTTAGTATATATCAAAATTACATCATGAACTTTTCTTTAAAAAAACCCATTTGATTTCTTTTTTTAATTTTTATTTATTTGACTATTAAATTACATCATGGACTACAATTCTTCTCCATTTGAGTTTTGCTAACATCTCGAATGAATTCAATGATGCATTCAAAGAAATTTTGGCTAACAGTTGGAATGGTTTGTGAATTGTGAATCGCTATTATAATACCCGAGTTTGAAAATTTAATTCGAGATGATTTTTTTAATTTATAAAATATATATATATAAATAATTAAATTTTTATTTCAATTTAATTTTTGTTAAATTTTTTAGAAAAAATGAAATAAAAACGAATTGTAAATAATTCTAAAAAATGGGTAAAAGCATGAAAAAAAGATGTGTTTTTAAAAGAAAATTTGAAAACATGGGGTAAAATCACAAAAAAAGAAAGTTTGGCCACGTGGGACAACCCGATCAGCAGCCACGGCGAACCAGGACATGCTAGTGGCAGACACGCTATCGACTTCACGTAGGAGGCCACGCAGGCGATGCGTGTGCTTGGGCGATTCGACGGCCTAAATCGCATCCTGCACGCACGAATGGCCCAGATGCATTTCTTCTTTAGACGCGATCGGACGAACGAGATTGATCGTGATGAATGACTCAGATTCGTCCACACAATCAGCCTAAACAGAAAATCATCAAACGGTCCTCCTCAGTCCACGTCGACTCGAACGAGCGGCTTAGATCGGATGGGGAAGAGTATTTAAACTCCTCTTCGCACTGAATCAAAACCTTAGCCGATAGAGAGATGACCGGAAAAGAAGAAGAATGGCGGTCGGAGAAAGAACCAGACGTTGGAGAAAGAGCCTAGCCACCGTCGCCGCCGCACCGGAGCCACCACCGATGCCCAAAACAAGTATTTTTTTTTCCTTCCCACTCAAAATTCAATTCTGAGTCTCCTTTATGCCCATATCGGAGCCAAAAGGTTCGACGGGTGAGTCAAAATTTGTGGGTTAAAGCTCGACTAAGCTGTCACGGCTAAAACGCAAAACTCTCTCCGATGACCCCCTTCC